CTGTCCTCTACCATCTTCTGGACTCCATTTAAGCTCACGCCTACTGCTTCAGGGACTCCATCCAGCCACCTCATTCTCTGTCGTCCCCTTCTTTTATTGCCCTCAATCTTTCCCAGTATTAGGCTCTTCTCCAGTGAGTCCTTCCTTCTCATTAGGTGGCCAAAGTATTTGAGTTTCAACTTCAGGATCTGGCCTTCTAAAGAGCAGTCAGGGTTGATCTCCTCCAGGACTGACTGGTTTGATCACCTTGAAGTCCAGGGGACTCGCAGGAGTCTTCTCCGGCACCATAGTTCAAAGACATAGTAGAACACTACATATACCTTGGCCAATGAAAAATATACTGTCGTTAATTTCTGTGTCTATGTTATTTTTGTCATCCTGATGAAACTGATAATTCTTCTGTCAAACTGTTGATCCTTGTCTGCATCTAAAATATTTTATGGTACATTTTATGGAGATATTGTTGGAGACCAATTATCTGAATTGGGGTTCAAGCAGGGAATTAGTTCAGACTCGCTACATAAAACACAAAAGAGCACCTGAATGCCTTTGAGCCTTATCTGGCCTTTCCCAGCTGAAAGCTGCTAGTCTGGGGAGATTCCTGTATTATAGGCAGAGGCAATAAAGTAATTAGTTTGAACTCTTCACGTGTCAGTCTGGTTGACAGATGTTGATGCTCAGCACTTGAGTTACATAGCATGACATAAAAAACCAAACATTTACTATGAAGATATGTTGCCAACAATTATTAGCAATACATTTACACTAGGTATATTTGAGTCCAATATTGAGATCACTATATGGATAAGTCTTCCCTACAGATGACAAGAATTTGTAAATCTTGCTATGGAATATAACAACTTAATTTTTTTTCAAATTAGTAGCACAATAAATCTGATAAAAATTTAACATCAAAGTACTCCAGGACTAATTTCTTATTGGATGAAAGACTATGATTTCTAATCTTTGGAAATACATAATACAATATTTGTTGCAGAAATAATACTTTCCTCCCAAGGCAACCAAACTTATTTCCTTTTACGCAAAGAATGTTCTGTGTTCTTCGCACTGAGATTGGGAAAATGAAGATAAGCGATTTTAATTTTGGAAGCTGCCCATAAATATAGATAAAAAAAGACTGGAATTTGTTCAGAGGCAGGCAACAAAGTTGATTATTACAAGTATGTCTTTGAGAACAGAGGATGAAGCAGGTTGTTTCCTAAATAAACAAGAAAAGGAAATAACTGCTGATGGCATTGGAATAGACTTCTCAGAATCCTTAGAATAATCTTTCTTTGTAGAAATTTGATAGAGGCAGTATAGTCACTATCCAGGATCCTGTAACAGTGAATTTCTGCATGGGCACAGATTAAGGCCAAATAACCTTGAAGTTCTTAAATCTAAGAGGCTATAGAAAAAAATTACCTTTTATGGGTTGTAGTAAAAATATTACATTTATTTAGTTTAGGTTTTGGATTATTCCAAATAAATTAAACTAAACTAACTAAAATGTGTAAATAAATAAATAAAACCTACTTCAACAGTCAGATTGATTCATGAAATCATAATTTAATGGGGCCACTGTTAGGGCTTTCCTGTCTTTTAACCATTCTCTAAAATTGGTGCTTGCTGATAGAATTGATCAATTGCAAGTATCATCTGAGTTAAAAATTTAAAGTCTATGCTATACTTTAAAATTTCCTTTCTTCATTTCATGTTCTGTCTTCTGGAATGAATAATTGTGCTCTGTCTTCTACATAACACTATCATGTCTACTTGCAATTTTTACTGCTCCAGGCTACCTAAGACAGTGATGGCGAACCTTTTAGAGACCGAGTGCCCAAACTGCAACCCCAAACCCACATGTATCCGGGTGGGCGTGGCCCATTGAGTGGGTGTGGCTGCGGTGGTAATGGCAGACTGGGTGGGACTAAAAAGTTCAATCAATCAATTCCAACTTTGCGAGATTTTTTTTTCCCCGCGAGTTGAAATTGATTGATTGAACCTTTTTTTTTTTTTGCACACAGTGGCGGAGGCCTAAAGCGAAAAGGTTTTATAAAACCCAGCTGAAGGCCTAGGACTGGGGCGATGGTGCATATGCCCACAGAGAAGGTTCTGTGTGCCACCTGTGGCACGCGTGCCATGGATTCGCCACCACAGACCTAAAACCTCCACCTTTCCTCCTAAGCTTTTCTTACAAAGCCCCCGATCATCTTGTTCTCCTCTGTATGCCCAGGATTTCTGTTGTGGATGTTTCCCTCTGGAACAGAACACCTGTCATCTTCTCTGTCATTTTTCCATTCTTATCTGTGTGGAATTTCTGACATCTTGGAATTAATAAAAGCTATTCTTAATAATGACTCAATGAATAGTGACTCAATTCATAAAGAATACTCTTATTTTTCTAATAGTGAACTTCCATTCATCTCAGTAAATAATTTACAATGGACAAGCAGATGAATAATTGATTTCAGATTTTAGATATGTCTAAAGTAAACTATAGAGCCAGTTTGATGCAATGGTTAAGGCACCAAGAACTGGGAGATTGTGAGTTCTAGTCCCACCTTAGGCATCAAGCCAGCTGGTGACCTTGGACCACTCACTTTTTCTCAGCTCTAGAAAGGAGGAGGCAAGAGTAAACCACTTCCAAAATTTTGCCAAGAAAACTACAGGGACCTGTTCAGGAATTACCAGGAGACAAGAATGATTTGTAGGCACCTCCCTTCAAAAGAAGTAAACTATGTTCTAAATTGGGTAACACCTTATCCTTTGGGTACTGGATTTATATCCACTATATTTAAAGAGAACTAAACTTAATATTTAAAATGACAAATCTCAAAAAGCACAATGCAGAAATGAGATGACACAACAATATTTGTTCTTCATTTTATTTTCTTTACAAATAGATCACCAAACCACTGCCCATCTGTTCATGGAACAATACAATAAAAATGAAACTATTCATTCTTTGTCCTGGTTTTAATAATTTAAAACAATACAGCCCTCCCTTAAAAGAATTTCCGACAGGTGTTGGCCTATTTCTATATCAGTCTTTCTCACAGTTCCTCTGGATGTATTTGTTACAACCTTTACATTCTTTTTATGACTTGTGGACAGTCAACTCCCAGACTGACTAGTTCAGGAATTCTGGGAATTGAGGTCAAGTCATAAAAGGACCGTGGTTCCCCACCTTGGGAAGTTTGGGCGTTATAATTTAATGCAAGTGGAAGGCAACAGTTGTATACATCACAAGGTAGGAATAGTGGAAACAAAAGTTTATTTTTGAAGAGTTATAATTTTATAATCATTATAAAATATAAAAGACCTACTTACAATTTCTTTTTTTTTTTTTTAAAAAGAGAACAATCTTATGCCTTTCATAATTTGTGGATAAATGTGGGCTTCACTGCAGTTGACATAATCCAAATGGTGTCTTTAACAAAACCCATATTTTAAATGGGAATTTTGTATTTCTCTTAACTGACTCTGTCTTTCAGATTCTTTAGCAATTGGTGAGAACTCATAAAACACAGAATAACAGACATAAATATCTATGGCCTCTTGGAATCATGGCATATACGTTTACTACACTAATAAATCTTACCCTAATCTTGGTATGGCTATCAGATCAGGACTGAAAAATCCAGTTAAAGTTTTCTGTACCTCTTTCCTGATGCCTGGATCTGATAGCCCTAAACCTTCCCCCCCCCCCCCCCTGTTTGCCACAACTCATGATATGAATGCCATTTTAAAAACATGAAAGTCATTATCTAGGGGATAAGGCCAGATAATGTCTGTTTCTGAAACACTGAAGTGAGATGACAAAAATAATTGCTTAGAGTCTACTCTAGAGATCTTCAAACGTGTTAACAAGGTGGCTGTACTATGTGCACTCATTATCTTTACTAGAGATAACAGATCTGGGGCGCAAAAATCCAAATAATTGCTAGATGCTATCAAAGCGTTAAAGTTTTATGAAATGGCTTGCTGCCCTCCAGATTTGTGCAGCCCATATATGGTAGCCCTACCTTCAAGAAATCATCTAGGATCAAGTACGCTTTGTTGGTTTCTGAACAACTTGCTGGTAGTTCAGTTGATAGAAAATAAAATCTCTCATACTACTGTTTAAAAGCGGATATAACAAAACAACAGACCTATTCTGCCACCTGGTGGCCAATAAATATTTATTCAATATTTATTCTTTCTAAAATAGTTCAAAGTAGAAAAACATTTGACTCTAGCAAAAAGAATTCAGAAGAAGCCTTCAGACCTTGTGCCACCCAGCAACTCTCTATTAATTGAGCATCCCCACTTTTTTCAGACTTCTGCCCCCGCCAGAAAAAAGGTGCTGCTGCTTTAAGAGCTGAGGATTGGTTTCGCATTATCCTTTTTTTTTTTTCTTGCAGAAGCCTGGGAAAATAATGAAATGTCTTTAACAAATAGCAAATAGATTCTGTGTTCATATCAAGTTTGAAACCTTCTCTGAATAAGTTTTGAAGTAGGAAGGGCCTTTCAGTACCCACATAATAGCCATTATATAATTAAAAACCCACAAAACCTGGAAAAACCAAAGCCATCCTATTTATACAAGGCAGCATACCGCTAATGCAGTGGCACCCAGGTGGAAAGCAAAGGACAAGAGGGACTGCCCTGATGCAATGCAAGCTCCATGCCTTGAGTACACACATCATGATATATGCACGCATGAAAAGGGAGGAGCTTACAAACAACATTCTGATGCTTTTGTCATTTTAATAAAAGGGGCGGCTTTTGCGGAATCTACACTTTTTTTTTTAAAGGAACCACAGTATAAGTTATTTTGATGTTATTTTCACACTGTAATCAGGAAGGCACTATTAATCCCATTTACTAATTTCTTAGAACAAGATATGCTTCCAATGAAGATAATTTAAAGTCTTGTGAGAGATTAAAAACCCTCTTCCGTTGTGTTGCTGTTCCAAACATGAAAATCAGGCTACATTTAATTAAAACATTATGCTTCAGATAGGCTTTTTCAGTGCTGCTTTTCTCATGCTGCCAAGATAAGCATCATAGATGACGTTTAGAAAGTTGTCGTCATTCTGAAAACAAACACATTAGTTAAAAAGAATCTCAAGGAAATCATAATGTCACATTTTTTTTTAAACTCTGGGGGATTAGGATGACGGCAGCTCTGATAGGGTAGCCCTAAAATACACACACTTATACACATAGAAAACAGATTAAATAGACACTCCATGGAAAACAACATAAATTACTTAAACTACATACAGATATTTACAAATGCTAAAAAAAACCTGGCAAAAATCACACACAGAGCATACACACACACAAAGATCAGACAAATAACTCATGTGATTTTTCTCCCTAAGTTATTATGTTGTACCTGACAATGAGTTGAGCGGCATATAAATTTAATAAATAACTTTTAAAAACATATGTGAATATGGTCTCAATAAAACACTGGGGAGTAGTATGATAACTATCATATCTAGGCTGCAAAAATCCAGATTTAAGTTAAAATGTTATATAACTCTCTGTTGGCACCATATAATGATCATCAAAAATTTTGTGGCCCTATGGCAAAGCTTTCTTACAATTTTTATTTTCTAAGATAGACTAAAAAAAATTTTATGGAATGCCTATGGGCCCATGATTTTAAAGGATGATGTTTTATTTTTGGAATGCCAACTTTCCATTTATTTATTTAAATAGTATTTTATTACGTAATGTTGTCTGCTCAGAAAATCATGTCAACATCATGAGAAGTCTTCATGAATACATTGGTACTGATTGTCCCAAAAGTGCTTTTCCAAAAGGCAACTGGACTTTCTTGGGGTTTTTTCTCTTGAAAAGGTTTTGCTTCTCATCCAAGAAACATTTCAGTTCGCTTCTTGAATGAGAAGCAAAATGTTTTCAAGAAAAAACAAGTCCAGTTGCCTTTTGGAAAAGCACCTTTGGGACAACCAGGACTTGGGTGGTTAAGCATTTCCATAGACGACAGTTCTAGAGGACATCCAAATGGAAACTGCAAGGATAATGCTGGGAAATCCAGATTCTAGTTCTCTTTTATAAAGCTCATCAAGCAGTCACAGACCAATCAAATGATGTTTTCTAGCTAACCTCACAGAACACATAATAGGAATTTGTGGCTTTCTAAAACCAATGGTCGATTTCAATATATGAAGAATTTCTGCATTAACAACAATAGTATTATAACTGCCCTGTAATTCCATTGTAGCATCTAACAATAGCAATAAGAAGACTACATTGTACAACTTAACGCACAACAAAGGTACAGGTGGCTAAGAGTTCAGGATGTCCTACCTGGATCAGATGCAGAAGCGTTTCCTGTAGCTGTAACTTGGTTAGTGGGCTGCTCTTTGGGATGGTTGCTTCTGAGTTCTGTAGAGGCAGAAGAAGGTTTGCTGATCCAGAAGTACTTTCTTGATTCATGACGGGCAGCCATCCACTTTCACTTGGTTTTGGCAGCTGTGGGGCACTCTGACTAAATACCATTGGGGACATCAGCAGTGATGGAGCTATAGTAGCGGGAATCCGCTGCGGGGAGATGACCTACTCCCAATATACAAGGAATTATACATTAATTCAATGACTACATGAATTCAACTCATAGACATGCAAAGCAGGGGTTGAATAACAGTAATCTCAGCATTAAAAATAGGTAGGTTGAGGCAAACAGTTTTACTTTAATAAAAGGCTGCCAATTCTCTGGATTGAAATCACATTGAGAAGACAGCATCATTATCTTGGAGGCAGCAATACTCTATAAAACTGGGATTACAGAATCATTTCTGGTTTGAAGAGTAGAACAGTGCTGAAGGTGGTGAACAGGGCCAACAACAGGCCAGGGCCACATAACTTATTTAATTGGAGAAAGGCTACTTTTTGTTGTGTTCCTCTGAAAATAGATTGGATATATTCATATAAGATGATGAACAACTAGAACATACAGGTGGCAGAAGCATTTATTGGCTAAGAGGGCATGTTAGATACCGGTGGGTCTTTGCCTTACAACCACGATTGAGCCCAAGATTTCTGTTGCTAAGTGAGACAGTTGTTAAGTGAGTTTTGCCTCATTGTATGACCTTTTTGCCACAGTTGTTAAGTGAATCACTGAAGTTGTTCAGTTAGTAACACGGTTGTTAAATGAATCTGGGTTTCCCCCATTGACTATGCTTGTCCGAAGGTGATCACGTGACCCCAGGACACTGCAACCGTCATAAATATGAGTCAGTTGCCAAGCGTCTGAATTTTGATCACATGACCATGAGGGTTCTGCAACATCGTAAGTGTGAAAAACAGTCATAAGTCACTTTTTTCAGTGCTGTTGTAACTTTGAACAATCACTAAACAAACTGTTGTACGTCGAGGACTACCTGTATGAAGGTGGCTGCCCTATATGTCAATATTAGGCTAGAAGTATAAGCCATGAAAGTAATTAACCCAGCTGTGGATTGTACTGCCACAGCAGTTCTGTCATCTAAATACTCCTAACATGTCAACAAAGGCCACATTGCTTCTTTGGATAGCTGGGGTTGCAGGAGTGTAAAACTCGATCACATCATGTGATGTATCGTGATGTATCACAACATTTTTTGCCTTTGGGGAGCTGGGGTGGGCGTGGCCTGTGTGTGACGCATCCGGCCTCCCGGCCGCCAGTTTAACACCCCTGCTGTATAGGATGCCGAAATTCTCATACTAACATCAGCTATCCAGCCAACAATGTTTATGCTCACGAGTACCAGGGGAAAAAACACAAATTGCAAAAACCTTGAAAGAACAAAAAGGCAGATTGATAATTCCCTTCATCTCCAAGATGCTGTTCTTTCCTTTTTAAGAGTCAAATGTGGACACATTCGATGGCATTTACATTCTGTGCTTTGGATGGTACAAATTCCATGTTATCGATAAAACCTGTACAGTATAAGTAAATATAATTTGCACAATTCTGCACAATGTAAGGAACAGCTGGCAGTTATGGAGCATGCTATGAACTATGCAGAGCAATACTGACCTCACCGTGACAGGGACTATTCTGGTTTTTGACCTTTTGCAGTCATTGTCCATAAACAGTACTTAACAATCATGAGAATTAAAGTAGCCAAACTGAATAAAATTTGAGTTTCATAAAGTAGCACTCTCTGAATTAAAGGAAATTCAAAATGCTTTCTAATGTATATAAATGCAGGGGTTTCCCCATCATTTACATATTCAAATCTTGTTTTATGTATTAGATTTAAATCCTGTCTTTTGTTTAAGCACTCAAGGTGAGGTACCTTCCACTTTCTGCTATTTTTTCCTTGCAGTAACAATGCTGCAAAGTACATTGGGCTGAGATAGAGATTGATGGAAAGTGAGTTTCTGTGCTCGGGGGCAGACTACAATTTGGGTCTGTGTCTCTAATGCCAGGCCAAAACCTTAACCAAGCAATAAATAAATATATATTTTGTGTCTTAAACACCGATATCCAAGAATTAGGTTTCTAATGCAATCACTTTCTTGAAGTTCAACAGACTGAACAAAGGCTAGCTGGGAGACTGCAAAATCCAAATTAATTTCAGACATCGTCTCTCTAAAACCAGCTGTTTTCTCAGAGATAGAGGAGGATTTTTATTTGTCTACAAAAGCCAGCATTTCCTTGAATACATCAAAGCAAGGACTGACGCAGGGTTTAAAATTCAAAAATCCCAAACCGTTGCCATATTAATGCATTCGGTTATAGAATCCAAGACACCAAGCATCATGTTAAATTAAATGAGAAAGTCTATTAGTTGCTGAATCTGGTCTTTGATACGCATTTCTATTCATTAGACAACGTTAATTCATTTTGTCCAAAGCCAGGGTTGGCTGCGCGTGGCCTCCAGTTATATATTTTGGCAGCACCTGCTGTGTTATGAACTACAGCCTCTTTTGGAAAGCAGGTTGTGTATCACACCACATTATCATGGTCAGATTGCTGGGAAACAGCAATGAAATATCACACAGATGGCCAGCTCATCTTGCTGACCCCCGCTGATGAGAGACAAATTTTGTAATTAAAGAAGAAAACCTGATATGCAGCTTTAGCTAGAAAAGCCTTTCTTTCTGCCTAAGAAGATTTGAAAGTTTATCAAAACTTAGGGATATTTTGTTTTGTTTTTATCTTGCCTTTATTACTTTACAAGTAACTCAAGGCAGCGAACATATATAATACTCCTTTCTCCTCCTAATTTCCGCTCAACAATAAGCCTGTGAGGTGGGCTGAGAGGGAGTGACTGGCCCAAAGTCACCTAGCTGGCTTTTTATCACTAAGTGCAATCCTGTCTGTGATCCAAGAAATACTTTACTGCCACTAAGATCCATAGTCATTGGAAGCTCCAGCTTCCATAAATTTTCTAAGAGGCACCCTATTAAAACCATCCCAATGGGTGAACATCACCACATAGGATGGGAACCAATTTCCTAATTTAAACATGCTTTGTATTAAGTGCCCTTCCTTTTATCAGTTCTGAACCTGTCAGAATTTTAATTCAGTGGAGGACTGCTAAGAATTAACACACTGAGAGGAAATCTTTTCTTTGTTCATATTTGTGTATGTGGTTTTTTTGGAAGGGGGTGTTGGAGTACCCTTAAATCAATGTTGATTCTGAGAACTGTTTAGACAAGTGTAGGAGAAGGAGTGGCAGAACCTGGGGGCAGAGATAAAAGAGGCACCAGCCTAGAATCCCGTTGTAACCACAAGCAAACTAAGTCCAATTTCCGTTGAATTCTTTTGTCCTTTATCTAATGCCAAGCAGGTGTTAACTATTAATTGAGAAGATACTTATGCATAGACATGATTAGCAATAAATTAGTTTAATGGGACCTTCACATGTGGACCTGATCTTTCATGGATGACGATAAGTCCCTTCAATTTTCTTGGCCATGTTTTTGGATGGGCTTTGCTTTCTAGAGCTGAGAGAGGAATTGTCCCTATGTTACCCAACTCACTTTGTGACTAGAACTCACAGTCTCCCAGTTTCTAGTCTGGTATCTTAACCACTACACCAAATCAGGTCTCTGCATTGAAGACTTTCCAGCCTCCCCCAGACACTGTGCTAATATGCATGTTCTTATGTTAAATTTTACATCTGAAATACCTAAAATAGAATAAACAATTTCCCATATGAATTCTTTAAGAGTGTTTAGGTAGGTGCCATCTGGATCCAGTGAGTTGCTGGCTTTTAATTTGTCAATAATCCCCATAACTTCAGCTCCTCACCTACCATCTGTTTCATTTTCCTCATTGCAAAGAGCCAAGTCAGGCACATGGTATTCATCCTTCACTATGAGAACATAAGTGAAAAATTGAGTTTTTTGTGTGACTTGAATATTCCCTTAATGCCTCTATTGACCAAAGACCCCATTGACTCCATTTAAAGTTGAATTTATTTTTAGTCATTGCTTTTTTTCTAACCATACAGTGTCTATGTATCTGATTTAAATTTGATCAGATATGTCTATTTTCTGGATAAATTCAAATCCAATTATGTTCTGTTTTTGTTAATTGCTTCAGTAGCATATATTTCCACTCTGCTGAGCCTCATTCTACAGATTATGGTTTTTAAGCCATATGGAGATGCAATACAAGCCAATTTGAAACGAGACTTATGAGATGCCTACTGGTAAGGAAGTACAAACAACAGACACTAGTTACGGAAGGAAATCATAATGAGTTCTTTAAATACATGTTTGTTCAGTTCAATATTCAAGATGTTGTCTAGGCAACAGGCAATACCAGGCAGACTTTGCAAAATTTGGTCCACTGTCCTTTGAAAGACTGCGAGAGCAGATGCAATTCACTAAGATAAACAATTCTAGGGAACAGATTTGGGGAATGTTTTTATTATCAAAGGGCTGCTCTGATTTGCCTGAATATCTGTAAATGTGAGTCTGCCAATATTATTTGCTGGAAATGTTTTGTCCTTAGCTAGGGTGACAAGAAAAGTCTTTGTGCAAGGCAGAGCACTGTGCTACAGGACAACAATAATAATCAGCCCATTGTCTTCATAAATATATATCTTGCTGCATAACAGGGATAATAAGATATTTGAAATTAGGCATTTATCCTTATGCTCGGACATGACTTTGGGGTTTTATGGCTGGTAAATATAGAATGTGACAGAAAGATAAAATAGGGAGCTAATCTTACTGATGACCTGGGAAATTAAGTCCTGGGAATCTTGATAGTGAGAGAACAATTTCACCAGTGTGTTCAGCAATATTTGTTGAGGTACCAGGAAACAAGTGTTCTCCAGGAGCCCTGGCAAGGGCCAATCTGGCTGGTTGGAAGTTGCCTTTTGCCCATGAAAAGATTCTGGAAGGCAAGCGGTGTTAAGAGCAGAAGGAAAGATGGTTTTGTTTTGCAGGGGCTAGTAACTTGCTCCTAAGTAGCAAAGCCTGGTTTTCATAGAAAATGATATAATCAGGAGCAGACTATTGTAGTATCTCTACAGCAGGGGTACTCAACCTTGGCAACTTTAAGACTTGTGGACTTCAACTCCCAGAGTAGGCTGAGGAATTCTAGGAGTTGAAGTCCACAAGTCTTAAAGTTGCCAAGGTTGAGGACCCCTGCTCTACAGTATCTTTTTCATTATCCTATGTGAAGTACAGGCAGTCCTCGACTTACAGTCACTATTGGGACCAGAATGTCCACTGCTAAGCAAGGTGGTTATTACATGAGCCACACTGATTTTACCACCTTTCTTGCCATGGTTGTTAAGCAAATCACTGCAGTTGTTAAATGAAATCATGTGACTGATAGGTGACTCCAGCTTCTCCCATTGATTTTGCTTGTTGGAAGCGGGCTGGGAAAGTCACAAATGGCGATCATGTGACCTCAGACACCGCAACCATCTGAAATACCTGTTGGCTGCCAAGCACTCAAATTTTGATCACGTGACTGTGGGGATGCTACAATGGTCGTAAGTGCGAGGACCAGTTGTAAGTCAGTTTTTTCAATGCCATTGTAACTTTGAATGGCCCCTAAATGAATGGTTGTAAATCAAAGACTACTTATACATCTCTACCATATCACCTATGGGGAAAAAGTTAAGCACTACATCACGGGTCTGTCTTCAAACTTGGCCCTTTTATGACTTGTGGACTTCACCTCCCAGAATTCCTCAGCCAGGCATGCTGGCTGAAGAATTCTGAGAGTTGAAATCCACAAGTCATAAAAGGGCCAAGTTTGAAGACCCCTGCACTACATGTAGGAGACCCCATTGTCTGTACCCTGCTCTGGGGCAAAGCTACTTCCACAAATTGGGAATGTTGCATCATGGCAACTGAGTCCTGCAAGGAACCCCTGAAACATAAAGATCTCCAACTCCCAAACCTAATCCTGGTTATGGAATAAAAGAGTCCACCCTCTAAGTGTATTTTTTATTATCTGTCAAATACATAACATCTCAAAGCTGTCCTGAACTGTTGTTTTTTCCATTCAATTCTAATGAAAATGTCATAAGCATCCTTCAAAAAAAAAATATCCTTAAACAGAAAATGAGTCATCTGTTCAATTGTTGTTTTCCACATCCTTTGTGGTTTCACGCTCCACATTACTTCAACTTGCAGAGCTTAAGGATAAGCTCTTTTCCCAATTTTACTTGTAAAGAAATACTTGGCTGTTACCTGCTGGGTTGGGTCTGACCAATGGCAGATCATAACGAAATGAATAAATCAAAGGCCAATACCTCCTAAGAACACAAAGCCCATTATTCAGATATGAACTTTCTGAGGAGTTTCAAACCATTTAGTATTGATGGAAGCAGGAAGGTTGGAAGGGGATCATATTATCATTTCAAAATGCCTTTTGAAAAGTTCAACAAGAACAGTGACAAATTGAAGCAAATTCACAGGAGGGCTGCCAAGATGGCAAAAGGTCCTAAAAAGGTCCCACTGTCGGACAATAGAACAGGTTGCCATATGAAATGGTGCGTTCTTCACTACAGGTTTTTTTAACAGAGGCTGGGTGGGCCTTAGATCCTGCAGTGAGCAGAGGATTCAACTGGATCAGTGTTTCCCATTCCTAGCAGTGGAATTCTGTGATCTGAAGTCCACACACCTGAAAATTGCCATACTTGAAAAACAGTGCACTAGATCAGTGGTTCTCAACCTGTGGGTCGGGACCCCATTTGGGGTCGATCGACCATTTCACGGGGGTCGCCAAGCAAGGCTGTCCGCCATTTTTTTGTCCGCCATTTTTTTTTCCCTTTTCCAGCGAGTGCCTTACCTCCCTTGGGCTGGGCCAGCTGGTGGTCGGCCTGCTCCGTCTCTGCCGCTTGCCAGCTACGCCTCGGCCGGCGCAGGGGGCAGAACCACACATGCGCGGCACTCCCAGGCAGGGAAAGTCCTCGACTTACGACCGGTTGGGTAGTCCTCGACTTACGACCGGTTGGGGTCGCGGCATTAAAAAGGTTGAGAACCACTGCACTAGATGAACCCTGTAGGGTTCCTTCCAACTCTACATTTCTATCATTGCAAGATTCTTGCAAATAGAGCTTGGCAACTGTAATGTATGCTTTAGAATATCTGCAATGATTGTTTATAAACGAATTAAGTCATCCAATGCTGTTATTCAAAAAAAAAAATTACATTTTTTTTCCTAAAGATAATCTCATCTGTGAGAGGAAAACAAATCTCCCAATTGCAGTCCTGGGATTTTTAAATCCTTCTTCTGAATACTTGGGAAAGTCATTAAGGTTTATCCTGTGCTTTTTTAGATAAGCTAAGAAAAGTGTTTGCAAAGCAGTAATGTGGCTAAAGGATTAGGCATTGTCCCTAACATTGGAAAAGATCTGCTTATGTTGTTCAAAGAGAAACTAATAATAATGCTAAAATAGAACCATTTGAGGAATCCAGTATGTTAGATCAGGGGTGGGCAATTATGGCCCCTTTAACGACCTGTGAACGTCAACTCCCAGAATTCCTGACACAGCTATGCTGGCTCAGGAAGTTTAGGAGTTGAAGTCCACAGGTCATAAACGGGCTGTAGTTGCTCACCCGTTTTAGGTGCTATCACATTTATCGTTGATTTACCTGAAGAAGTGGGGGTTGCTTTTCTGTAGCTGAAGCCTTGTCCATCCAAGAATCCAAAGGTTTCAGAGTGGTGGAGGCCTGAGTAACTACAGGAAACTTAGCAGCTAAGGTTGGCCGACTGGCTATGTGCAGCTGTTGTTCCTGCTGCACTATCTGCAGTTTCTTCAACAACTCCTGAGGTGAAATTATGCCAGAATTTCCAGCGTGATTCCCAGGAAGAGGATGTGACTGCTTAGCAGGTTTGGATTGTTCTTTACCAAGAGCTTGGCTTGGCAGGGAACCATTGAAGTACATCATGGGTGGCTGTATTACACTGTTTACCTGGGCCATCGAGGAGATGGCTGGAGTCCTGTTGAAGCCTGGAGCAGTTGAATTTGCTAGTCTTATGCTGTTAGCTTCCACTTTAGTCATCGGTTCAGACTGGCCTTGCAACTGCTGGAGCAGGCTCCTCGCGCACACGGTGTTCTGGGCAGGATGAGAACTCCCAACGCTCTGTGAAGTCACAGGCTGGAAGAGCCCAGTGAAAGCTTCTCCTACGGAAGAAGGGTGGCTGCCATTCTCGCATAGGCGGCTCTCTGGGAGTTCTGAGACTGGGTGAAGCTCTGGTCCACGCACCATCAGTTTTTGAATGGCCGGGCAGAGCTGCTTTTCTGCTGTGGGCGAGTGTCTTCCAGGCTCCTCGTATGAGAAAGAGCGCACAACTCCTTGTCTCAGAGGAAAATTGTCTTGGTGGAGCTTCTCTGAGACATTTTGGTATAGACTTGATTTTTCCTGCTTTCCAAAGAGAGTCATAAGGGATAGGTGCTGAGGCTCAGAATCTGTGTTCTGAAAGAAGGAAGGAAGAATAATTAAGGCCAAATCTGACTTGGGTAGCTGCATCAACAACAATAAATAAAAACAAATCCTCACCGGAACCTAGGGGGGGAGGGAATGATCGGAATAGATAGTTGTGAGGGGAAATGGCATGTAGGAGACTGAAGTTATCCCCTACTTATATTGATTTGCTTTGGTCTAGCCATGGCTACAGTTTCATAAGGCAATGAGGTCACATATTTTTCTAGTGTCCAGTGATCCCTCGGCGCACACTTGTACAGTGATAGTGTGGTAAAATTTCTGGATATAGAAGAGGGAGGAGTAAAGAGGGGGTTCAACTTGGAGTCACTTGGCAGGAGGAAGCAACAGAGGCCAGACCCTTGAAGCCTTTATCTGCCTGTTCCCAAGAGAATGCAGTTAGTCTGGCAAACGTCTTGCATGTAGAGGTATCACAATAAAGACACCACTTTGCCCTACGCACAAGTTGTTCTGGTTCTTCCTTGCACCTGACAGATAGCAAGCAGCCTATATTTTTCCTGCTATGACATCACAATTGTTTCCACCAAGGATGCATGATCCGTCACTCCCTGATAAGTAGCAGAAGCCTCTTAAAAACCCCATTGAATCAAGCTCACCTTCTGCCATTGGTTTTATTTTATCAATCTGAAGACATGTCCAAATCTCCCACAGATGATTCTATACACACTTATATTAAAACAAACCCCACTGTACTTAAGAAATTAACCAGTTGACATGAATAGGCTAGTTAATCATGAATGCGAATATGCCCACATACCTGGACTTTCTGGCTTTCCCTGGGCTTCAGAGGGATTGGTTTGATCAAATTGGGATTGTGGTATAGAGCAGAAGAACTGGTCATTTGTTTTGGCTCGGAACATGTTTTACACTGCAACACACACACACACACACACAAAGTATTATTTTATTAAAAAAGCAACGTTTCATCTCAAGATTGATAGAACTATAGATTGTGGAATTGGAAGGGACTGCAAAGATCAAGTCCAACCCTCTAAAGGTGACTGTCCAGCCTCTTCTCTCAGAGAATCTCAGAGACAGTGATTCTTAACAAACTCTCTAAAAGGTTGTTTCATTTTTTCTACAGATTTTACTATCAGAACGTTTTTCTTATACCGAAACAAAAATTAGGTAGCTGCAGCTTGTGCCCATTATGATTAACACCATCACTGGAAACAAATATAGTTAAATTCAGAAGAGAAACTGCCAGGTTGAAAAATGACCATGAGAATGAAGGATACTTGAAAGGAACATAATATCGTTTTACAGGAATAGACAGCACATGCAATCCATAACCTAAGTATAATGCCAATTTCCATGAAAGATTTTTTTAAATGTAATTTTCTATTCCTGATTATCTCCTCAGTTTGCATGTAATATACATGTAAAAACAAACTAAGAGCAAGGGACCCATTTAAAGCAACTCATAATGTTTGAACAAGAGTAGTTTCAGGTTCCAGATGTTATTACTTGATTTTCACAGCTTCTGAAGATACATAAATGTATGACCTTCATCGCAAGGTTTTGAAGGCATCGATTTTTTAACAAAAACTCTATACTGTTAAGGAACTTCAATTCAACTGACCTAAATTATATACAATCTGATATTAAAAGAGAAGGGAAAATGCAAAATTGTACAAATTATGAGATCTGAATAGACCTCAAAATTAAAAAGTTCTCTATTCAAATCCAGGCAAATCAAAGAAAAGCTGAGTGCTGAGCAAAAATAACTGACATTCTCAGTTTCTCTTGAGATATTTTTTCATATATAGTATGGGCCATCACAAATGAAATGGTCTTATCCTATATTTTAAGTCATGGAACATCACTGGGTAGAAAGATGCAAAGAAGAGTTCAGAAGTCTTGGAAGCCTCACATACAGTAGCAAAAAAATAGAAAGATAACTCTTCAAATACTCAAGATTCAGAATTGTACAGAAGGAACGCTGGTATAAATTTGCATTCAAATATCCAAAAGTTAAAATGAACTCTCATTACTGCCACAATGTATTCTGCATCCAGGAAACTAAAATGCTGAGATTAAGAAGCTGAATATAAAATTGTTCCTGTGAGTGGCATCTGATAAAGAAAAAAATTAAGGGGAAAAAAACAGATTAAAGGATGTACTGTAGATTCTGAGGGAGGCAGCTCTCAGTCATGGGAGTAAAAGAAGCATAGACTTATCAACAGATGGCCCAAACAAATCTCTAATTCAGTGTTTCTCAACCTTGACAATTTTAAAGCATGTGGACTTCAACTCCCAGAATTCCACAGCCAGCAATGCTGGCTGTGGAATTCTGGGAGTTGAAGTCCACATGCCTTAAAATTGTCAAGGTTGAGAAACACTGCGTCTAATTTCTAGTGATTCTTACAGCAGAGGAACAGAAAAGCAAACCTCATTACTAGTCTCCTACTTCATGCTGAGGTATCACTATTTTTAGGCCTTGCAAGTTGTTCGAAAATGATTATTCCCAAATTCCCTCATTATTTGTCTTGACAAAACTAAATCATTTTTCAATAATGATTATCTGTTCCTGAAAAAGGTACCTGGACTCTAAAATGAACAGAACGGCAATCTAACAACTCTCAAAGGCACCTCTGATAGCTTGTTAATTCCAATCATAAGGCATTTTTCGAAATGGCCAGAGGCATGAGAGACTTATTGGCTTTATGCTAATAATCATCTCAAAGAACAGACTCTAAGCTCAGCCTTCCTCAACCTCGTTCATGGAAGGGATGGAAACTACAGCCACAAGATTTTTCACAGAACAAAACCACCAACAGCATGGTTTGTTATATATTATGGAACTGTGATCTAACATATATGGAAAGCACCAAGATGGGTAAGACTGTCTTAAATCACTGCTTGAGCATTTAGGATGGCTTTCTAAGGTGGAATAGCCATACAGGTATGACATGACTAGATATCACACTATATAGGAATAAATTTGTTCATTGTTTAACACCCTCATCTTAAGAACCTTCCATATTCCAGAGTAAGTATGATGCACTGGACTAAGATCCAACTTCAAGTCCGTCCTCAGCCATTGAAGCTCATAGTATGGCTTTCGGTCAGTCGCTAACATTCACTCAGCTTACCTCACAGGTTTGTTGTGAGGAAAGGCTGGAGGAGAGAGGGCTAACCTTGAGTTCTTAGTGGAAAAGTGAGATTAAAAACTTAATAAATACATAAACTTCATTTTATTAGCTAGAATCAAGGAAAGAAATAGAGATAGTCTGAAGTGGATAGATGTTATTTATTGATTGAAGTACATTGTGTCCTCTTCTGCTCTTTCATTGGAAGTTATTGGAGAACATCAAATCATTAAATGAACCTGTCTGCTTAATAGTGCAGTAGAAAGTCCATCCATCTGTCTGTCCACCCAACTTTCATCAATAAAACTTAGCACATTGCATTCCCCTGTAAAAATTCAGTAATTTTCTTATTCCTGTTCCCAGTGTTCCCTCCCTCCCTCCCTCTCTCTTTCTCTCTTCCCTCCCTCCCTCCCTCTCTCTTTCCTGCCTCCCTCCCTCTCTCTCTCTGTCTCTCTCTCTGACAGGCTGACTGTAACACATGGGACCTTTGCTCTCAAAAGGATGAAATGAAAAATCACTATTTTACACAATGGGTATGAAATATGATGCATTTGATGCAGAGGAAACTGTAAAGTGTCACCTATTGTCATCCTAATGCAGATTATCTTCAGCTTTGGGACGACAGCTGTTCCTGCATCTCACTGCATTGCCAAAGATAAATTTCTCTGTGGCATAATATTTCCTTGGTAACCAGTTATAATAAAGAAATTTAGGTGGAGAAGCTAAGCAGCACTAATAGATTGATTCGTTCTTCAGATGAATTGTTTCCAAACAAGTGTCTTGAATGATACACAGTACACAATGGCAGGGAAAAGACTTTAATGCATGGTATGTTTTTTCTGAATACTCTTCAGGGTAAGGAGACAAACAAGTGTCTTTATACTTTATCTGCTGTGCATATGATGTCAGCAGATATCACTATCTTTCTATATTTTTAAGTAGCTTTTTCAATAAGGGCTGCTCAAACTGATAATATATTATATAGCTTAATATGAAAACTATCATCCCATTGTCTAAATCGTTACTTCTGGCTCTCTTGCTTGGTAATCCCTAACAATCTGTATTCAGAATGAAATAACTATTGATATTATTAGAGCTGATTTCCCAGTAAAACTAGTTGAACTTGGTGGCATTAAGCAAGCCGCAGCTAAAGATAACAGCTTCAAAATCACTTCGATTCAAATGAATCATTTCATATTAAATATAACAGCAAAGAACTATTTTCTTTGAGTCAATTAATGAATTTTCTTTGAAGGAATGAATGAATTCAAAATTTAACTTATAAATAGGGTACCAGAACTTGCTCCTCCAAGAAAACTCTGCCAAATTTTGATGACAGAGTCAGCTGCTGCTGGTAATTAGGAATTGACTGTAAATGGAGGGATAGGAAAAGTAGAGAAATACCCATGATTTGCCCATGATTTGGCTTCTGTAATCATCTACATTTTGCTTTCTATTGCTATTTCCATATTTTTTTTCATGAGCGGTGACTGCTTGCCATTGGTTCTTAAGGGCAAATTACTGAGCAGAAATTAGAGGCATCAATAGCTTTACTTGCTTCCCATTAATTTTTCTCTGCCACTTTCCAAAGCTCTCTGTGCCCCTTGTCTCTGCCCGGTCTCCTTTCTCTTCCCATCTTGCTTTCTACTTCAATCTTCCCCAGCATATTCTACAGTGCCTCTACCAAAAATGGCCTGAATCACAAAGACTGGATTCTCCAGTGACCAAAGCTCCAGGGGGTTGTAGCTTCCATAAAGACACAACTGTCGCTGAGGCAGAGAAATGCTAAAATTGGACTGGACTGAACTCTAAGAATACTTGTCATTTTAAAAAAAGAGGAAAAGGAAATCAAATTAACAAAGGAAGTGAAGTTAAATTTGACGGAGGGCAAAAGGCATCAAAAAAGCATTACAGGCAATCGTAGTTCAGCGACTGCCTTATTTAGTAACAATATGCAATTATGACAGTGATAAAAAGTAACTTTGTGACCAATCCTCATATTTATGATCTCTGCACTCTGTAAAGCAAAGGAAAGTTGAAATGAAATTGTAAAATCATGGCGTTTCACTGGGCAGCCATTTCATTTAACAGACAAGCTGCCAATCCCAATTGTGGTTGCTAAACGAGGACTACTGGTAAAATCTAGATATTATTTACATGGAAAAAAATATACATGTCTTCCGAGTATATTATGAACTGCAAAAGCTCTAAGAATTTAGTCACTGTTACATTGTCATTATTTTGATTTTTCTGAATGTCTGTGATAACCACTCCCAATTTGAGAATAGAGATAGTCCTCGTCTTACAACTACATTTGAGACAAGAATCTCAGTTGTTGAGCAAAGCAGTCATTAAGTGGGATGTCACTTTCTGATTGCTTGTCTCAACAACTGCAAGCCCCGCTCTCCCAGTTGTTGTTGTTAAATGGGTCGTTAAACAGATGGAGTCCCAAGTAAGGAGGGTGGGGTGCCTCAGGTGGGCAGGGGACTGCCTTCACACAGTGCTTTGGAAATCTCATTCTCTAAATGTGCGAGGTTTGCAGGAAGGTGCGATGCAGTTTCAGGAAAGAAGGTCTTGTGTAACCACAAGCTGCCTTGGATAGGCCATGCGAGCCTCTCAGCTGAAGAAAAAAACAAACACCTGAACACGAGTGGTGGCATGCGGCAGATCCTGGGGTATACCGGGCAGTGGAGCAAAAAGGAAGGGCATGAGGCAATATTTTTCAGTGGGAGCAGTGATACTAGTTCTGAAGTTCAAGGCCTTGAAGTGGTGGCAGCTAGCTGAGAGTGCTAAAGACTCTGGACCTTTACTTTAGGCCCAGCCCTGACACTGCAGCTGAATTTCACTGTGCAGGGTGGCCTAATCAGAGAGAAGATAGGCAGATGAGGGGAACGGCAGTATCCATACAGAATAATAATAATAATAATAATAATAATAATAATAATAATAATAATAATAATAATAATAATAATAATAATAATAATAATGATGATGATGATGATGATGATGATGATGATGATGATGATGATGATGATGATGATGATGATGATGTTGGAAGAGACCTTGGAGATCATCTAGTCCAATCCCCTGCTCAGGCAGGAAACCCTATACATTTCAGACAAATGGCTGTCCAGTCTCTTCCAGTTTTGGAGCATTCTGGAGGCAGGTTGTTCCAGTGATTAATTGTTCTGTCAGAAAATTTCTCCTTAGTTCTAGGTTGCTTCTTTCTTTGGTTAGTTTCCATCCGTTGCTTCTTGTCCTGCCTTCAGGCGCTTTGGAGAATAGCTTGACTCCCTCTTCTTTGGGGCAGCCCCTGAGATATTGGAACACTGCTATCATGTTACCCCTCGTCCTTCTCTTCATTAGACTAGACATTCCCAATTCCAGCAACCGTTCAAGTGTATGCAGGCTGCATGCAGTTTTAAGTGCATGCAGGCTGCCAAGGGCCCAAAGTTTTGTCATGCAACTGTGGGGGCACTACCACGGTCATAACTTTGGGCATGGGTCGTAAGTCCCTTCGTTCAGTGCCATCATACTTTCAAATAGTTGCTGAATCAATGGTTGTAAGTTGAGGAATATATACTTGTTAGTGTGGCTTTCAGCAGCACTGATGAGTACCGTGGTGGTCAGGCACAAAAAGTGATCCATAATTGTCTTTCTCAATTTTTATGCTGTATTTATCAAAGGAAAAAGATTGGGGTGGCGGGAGAGATTCATTCCTGTTAAGCTTCAGTTGCTCCCCATATTTAAATAATTTCCCAGAGCTTAATGGTTTTAGAGCAGCTCATCCCAACCTAAACCAGTCTGCAAGGTGTTGGATTACAAGACGGGAAATTTGGAAGTTGCAATGCAATATGGATTGGACATTTGTTTAAAGATAATACCTACTAATACCTGGCTTAGATGTATAGTGTAAAACACAAGCTTAATTAATATTAGAGAAAACAAGAAATTCTCGTCAGATACAGTTGCAAACTGTACATAAAAAGAATGGATAGATCAAACATGTAAAAAAAGAAAATATAATACTTTAAATAGCAGAAGCCCCACCTTTGTGTACTCATCTTTGGCTCTGGTGAGCATCTGTAAGATATCCATGTCTTTCCTGTCACCAGAGCTGAGGGTGACTGGTGAAATTCCTATGCCAGATCCTTGTTGTGCTTTCAGTTGTTCTTGCTGAGTTAAACTGGAAATGAAGGGTAAAGTCAAAAATGAATGAGAAAATGAGTTAATTTCCAATCACTTCAAATAATCTAGACAACGTTAAGAACACTTTTTAGATGAAAAGCTAAGGTTTGGCTAAAGCTAATAATGTGGATTCTCCAATTTTATGCACTTGGGCTTTAAAAGACTTCGGTCTCCCCAACTTAGTCACAGCTCATTTTATGATGGCTGGAGGTTGTAAGCTGGTGAATAGAATGGAAATAAATATTTAACTACTAGTAAATGACCAATTTCCTGCCCCAGCTGTTTTATAATTACTTCAAAGAACTGAAAATTTTAACACATAGTACATTGGCTGAACCATAGTATAACTTAACTAGATGAAACATTGCTCTTCTGATATAAATATATTTACAATCATATACCGGTAAATATATTTACAACCATATCAATATTCCCCAGCAGTCTTTTATGGAGCTACTTTTAACAACCAACAATGGCAGGATATTGGCTTCAAAACATAATTTATTAAGAATATATGGTATATTTGGGGTGGATGACCTTCTTTCTCCTCAAAATTATTTTGTTATTGTTTTTAACTGACCTGTTACTTATCACTTAGTATCATATAATGTTCTTGATGGACAAAGAATTTATAAATATCATCTTCAACATTCTTGCTACAAAAACATTGTGTCTGTGATACCTTCAAAACCAACAAGCTATGGAATAAATTTCCATGAATCACAGCTCACTTTGTCATATCCTGTGAGTGGCTAAGCCCAGAAGGATTTTTAAATGATGTGGCAACATTACAATTCAGACACCAAACAAAAGCAAAGTCCTTTCATTATTTGAAGATCTCACAAATAGCAGAAATACTGCTGAGTACAAAACTGGGACTGTTACAGCAGGGCACTGGAATCAACTGAGGATAAAGTAAGACTGTCATAAGATGTATATATAAAATTCAACCTCTGTAGGAGGAGCCATAAATGGGAATTAAATAGAGCTAAGATCTATTCTGCATGAGTGCATTCCACAGAAGTCAGAATGTTTCTTCCTATCTTGTGGCTTGATGTAATGGTGAAGGGGGTTCTCATAAGACACATTGGCAAAAGGGCAGAGCAGAGAATGTAGTCTCATTGTCACTTGAGTCCTCCTTTTCTATAATAAGAATCATGGTCCAGAAGCTCAGATTTCTCTATTTCCAAAGGTGTTGGTTCCTACCACAGAAAATAGGAAAGTAGGGGACAGTGTTCAGACATAAAAATAATATTTTAATTTAGGATATGCAGGTACAGGGGGGGGATCTATTATTAATGAGTCCCAAATGCAAGATATATCAGTAGTTTTGTTATAAGCTGGTCAGCCTTTAAGAGAGGGTTATATTGCAATTCCCAAAGTACTGAATACAGTCCCTAGAGCTCTCTAAATTTTGCTGATGAATCGTATTTTTTAACAGGATAGAAGGAAACAATATGTATGTATGTATATATTTACATATGTATGTACACACACATAGAGAATTAATTGTTCTAATATGTTTATTTAATTTAAATTTAATCATGTTTAATTTTATCTCTATGCTACCCAAGCATGCCACTCTAAGTTTTCACAAATTGAAAAAAGTTTGTGCTCACTGTTGGTGCCTGAAAAGAACCAACACAACCACTCCTTGGAACCTCTAGTAGTTTTGGCTCAGGACAGGGTTTTTTTCAGCTACATACTTTGCCAGCTATGCAAATATCTGTTTTAGATGAATGTTGCCAGGGCAATCTGTTATGGATTGACAACCATTTAAGATCAGAAAGCAAAAAGACAAGAATGACAATTTTAATAACAGATACAAATAAGCAGGGGGCTCCCCCAAAGAGTTCTGTTGGGACTGTGTTAATTTATTCATACAGGAATTGAAATCTGATGTGTGCAGTGAAGGCAAAATTGCAAATGGCATGTAATTACTGATGATATGAAATACAAAGCAGAGGAGATCCAGAAAGGAGTTCCTCAAAGCGAGCAAAAGATGAGAAAATTGAACATGATCCTTAACCCAAAAGAAATGTGTATATAGATATTGGCAAAAACATTGCATTCCAAATTTGAACTGAGGATGATTAATCAGGCATGATGGACTACCGAAAACAACAAATCAAGATTAGAAATCAGAAAAGATCATGGGAAAAGAACTACCGATATTACAGTTACTATATATAAATTTATCCCATGGCTTAATTTGTAATACAATATTCCACATTTTACAAAAAGAATGTCATTGCAATAAAGGTTTGAAAAGAGGTAGCTGAAAACAACTTCAGACTACGTTCTGTAGGAAGGAAGTTTATGAAGTACAGATTAGGCGAGACCTGGCTCAAAAACAGTAACTGTGAGAGGGACCTTGGAGTCCTAGTGGACGATCACTTGACTATGAGCCAGCAGTGTGCAGCAGCAGCCAAAAAAGCTAATACAATCCTGGGTTGTATAAACAGAGGCATAGAATCAAGATCATGCAAAGTATTAGTACCGCTTTATAAAACCCTAGTAAGACCACACCTGGAATACTGCAACCAATTTTGGTCACCATACTACAAAAAAGATGTTGAGACCTTGGAAAAAGTTTAGAGAAGAGCAACTAAAATAATCAAAGGCCTGGAGACTAAAACCTATGAAAAATGGCTGCAGTTCGAACTCATGGCAGTGAGCAGAGTCAGCCTGCAATACAGTGTATTCTAACCAATGCACCAACACGGAGAGGTGGATGAGAACGCAGGAGCAGCAGAATGTGAGACTGAATGGAGAAAGAGTCTCCTGCTTGCACCCATAATAGGAGAATGTGAGGCCATCCAATCCAACTAGGAGCCAGTTCAACAACAGCCAAAGAAACTATTTGACATGAGACATATTGAACTTATTTACCACAAGATTACAGATGATTGTTTGGCGGGTATGGCTTGGGGGTGCTTAAGGAACATTCATGGAGATAATTATATAATTATCTGAAACTGCTATGGTCAGAACAATCTCTCTTGCTGGATATCATATCCTTAGGAAATGGGAAACGACAGAACATGTTTCCTTCATATACTCTTAGTGGCTTTTTTGGGAGGATCTGATTCTTCTCTATATGGAAAAAGATGCTGAATCTTTGCTTAGAGCCTGCAGGGCTATTTGTGACTGTTTATACATTGTACTGTTATCCATCACTTGGACAGAGACAATGCATTTTAAAAAGTGTATCCATATTAGAAGAATTAACACAAGGAACCTGTTATAATTGGAAAGTACCTCTATGCAATAATATTTATTGCATTCCACTCAGACTTATTCACAAACCCATCTATAAATATATATATAACATAACCCAACCATAACTACACAGACTTTTGCATTTATCAGAGCAAAGATCAACAGCTACTCAAACCATTAAGAATGAAACGCAAAAATCATCGTGTGCCAGGAACATTTTTTCCTTCTTCAAAGCAACAAAATTAAATGATGCTTTTTATAATGTAATTGTATGTAGATTGATTCATGGGTGAATGCCATGTTTTCAAAGAGATCCAAAGGAGCTTTTTCAAGAGGCAACTGGACTTTCTTTGTTTTTTTTTTTTTTTAAGATCTTTTACTTCTAATCCAAGAAGCTTCTTGAATGAGAAATGAAACGTCTTCAAAGAAAAACAAAGGAAGTCCAGTTGCCTCTTGAAAAAGCACCTTTGGGACCACGATGACCTGGACGACTGAGAATCTGCATAGACATTTTCCAAGGGATTTATTCCCACGTAGAAACATTCATAAGACCATAACTTTAGTTGATATTCTGCTTTAATGTGTTCTGTGTCTCTATGTCAGCAGTCTCAGTTTAAAAGAAGCTAATGTTAAAAAGTGTATTAGAGTAACAGTGACATAACATAAAAAAAATACCATTGTCCCTCCACCCCCACCCTGCCAGTCTGTCTTTGCCAACTGGCACTTACTTTTTCATCAGCTCTGCAATTCTTTGGCATTCTTCCTTATCGTAAAACCAAATTCCATAAATGGACACTGTAAACGCACATCAAACACAAATGATGAACAACAGAGCCTCATGTACACCAGCTGCCCTTTTTGGCATTAGCAAGAATCAATGAATGTTGCTTGCAGAGGAGGTTCTAAAGCTTTAAAAATAAGTCTATAAAATTCAAACAGTTGCATTTTAGTTTCTATTCTACTTCTCCATTTACCATTTATTATATGATGCAGACATGCAATCACAACATTTATAGCAACCAGACCTGGTTGACTAGGTGAAAGTCTCCCACAATGAACCATTCTCTCTATAGTAATGTCTTTCACAATTCCAGAACACTCTCTACTGACCTGCTTAGAAAACTATTCTGTTAGGAAATGATTAGACTTCATCCATGAATTTCATCCATCTATCATACTCTGCATCGGCTATGTTTCTTCCTCTGTTTCTGGAACTCATCATAATACTTACCATATTCTATGTCCCCATTATTTTATTTTGCAATTAAAAAGGGGAAGCTACTATTTAGCAAAGCAAAGGGACACTCTGAAGCATAATCTTTATTCCTTAAAATGGTCCTAGGATCCAAAGAGATCTTAAAGGCTTTCTGAAATAATTGTTTAAAAATATATCTACCCAAAGAGAAAAAAAATCCCTGAAATTTCTATGTGTTTCCCGATAAATGAGTTCCACTGTTACAGTTCACTCCATTGTTAAGAGTTATATTATTCAAGCTCTACAAATCTTAGCTTCATAGTAGAGCCTCATAAGAAACCACTATATTTTATATCAACAATTAGAAAAACTCAAGCAGGATCAGGTTAAAATATTTTATGTTTTAGGTAGTCCTCGACTCAGAACCACAACTGAGCCCCAAATTTCCATTCCTAAGCAAGACAGTTGTTAAAGTGAGTTTTGCCCCATTTTACAACTTATCTTGCCACAATTATATCCTGGTGCTACATCAAAGAAGGTTTAAAGGTAAGAATACAATTAGTGCAACAACTATAAAATCATTGCAGTTGTTAAGTTAGTGATACGGTTGCTAAGCGCATCTGGCTTCCCCATTTGATTTACCTTGTCAGAAGTTTGCAAAAGCTGATCACATGACCCCAGGACACCACAACCATCATAAATGCTTGCCAGTTGCCAAGGGTCCGAACGTTGATCAGACCATGGGGATGTTGCAACTGTTGTAAGTGTGAAAACGGTTGTAAGTCACTTTGTTCAGCGCCGTTGTAACTTCGAACAGTCACTAAATGAATGATTGTAAGTCAAGGACTACTTGTGGTGCAAAGTAGCAGTTCAAAAGCATGTTATAGGCAAGTAGATAAATAGGGGCCACTTTGGTGGGAAGATGAGCTGGTGCTTTGTGCGGACGTCAGGTCCCCGCCAGCACTGGTCCTTCCCGGATGTGACACCCATTTGCGAGGTGACTTCAGTGGAGAGAGAAAGTCCCAGATGATACTGCAGGATGCCGGTCATCTTTCTTTCTTTCTTTCAGGTGTGAACTGAATGGGCTAGCAGTCTTAAGGCAGCCAAATAACTATTCTGCATTAGCACTGTAGTCTCCTGGGTAATATAACATCACCAGATGATAGATAGATAGATAGATAGATAGATAGATAGATAGATAGATAGATAGATAGATAGATAGATAGATAGATAGATAGATAGATAGAGAGAGAGAGAGAGAGAGAGAGAGAGAGAGAGAGAGAGACAGACAGACAGACAGACAGACAGACAGACAGACAGACACTTGTTTACCACTTTCTGACCCTATGCTATGGTTTGCCTCCTCCTGCCATCTCCAATCTTCTTTATCTGCTCACTATATTCCTCTGCTTTTCAATATTTCCCGATGTCTCCCTAACTTCCCTATCCTCTCCCATCCTTACTGCCTTCCCCAACTTCACTTGACATTTCCTAGCCTGTACATCTCTCCCATACTGCCTTCTGCAATCCTGTCTGCTCACCCATATAGCTAGACTGCAAAAAGGAAGTGTTTTGCTTGAAAAAATAATCATATTTTTCTTTGGTTGAGGATTCTTTGATACTGAGACTGCAGGTGTAAACAAACAACAAAAGCTCTGTATCTTTTTCTTAAAAAAATATATATTAAGTAATAAGAGGAAAAAAAATGCCCCTGAGCAGAACTGACTATGCGAGGACTTTAACCATGCATCCATGCAGTTTTCTTGACAACACTACAGAAATGGTTTGTCCCTGTCTTCTAATTTTTGTTGTTTTGTTTTGTTTAGTCTACAGTTCTGGGAATCCCCAGTGATCTGTCTTCCAAGTATCAACTACACCCAATCTTGCTTAGTTTCTGAATCCAAAGTTCTACTACCTGCTGAAAAAAACACTATGCTTTTAAAAATATACAGTTCTTTCTGATTAATAGAAGGAACTATGAAACAACGACTCCTGCTGAAGAAAAAAAAGCTTCAGCTACTTCTTTTGGGGAGGAAGGGGGAGAATTTTCCTATTATGACTTCTTTCAGATAATAACATGTAAAAAATACAAGTGAAAACAAAGAAAAAATTGATAAAATAACATACATAAATTAAATAACAAAAGAAATAACAAGTGGTTCCATTTACTCTAGGGCTGTAGTTATATTATTTTACTCTATTTTATTTTTTTAATCAAACTTATTAACCATCCATCTGCCTCAATGAGAGGCTCACTGGAAATTACACATTTCCGCCCTACAGTAGTTTAGTTTAGTTTAGTTTAGTTTAGTTTAGTTTCTAGAACATAAAACTACACCTTTTCAGAGACCTCTTCCATTGCTGATATAACTTTATCAAAAATATTTTTTCATAGAAGAGTCAAAAAGTTGTCTGATTTTTTTTAAAATAAAGAATTAGTTGGACTTTTGCCAACGGATAATTGATATCAAGCCTCCTTTCTTATCCATGTGAGGCAGAAATATAATTTGAGGAATATCAAATGTACCTCTAAATATATTCTAAATTAGAGGACAAATCTATGAGGACAACAAATGGGAGTGTATCACTGCTTTTTCACAATGGCCCGATATAAATATTGCATTGATGATGTAGTTTGGTTTTGGCCTAGAATGCTATGTGAATCAATTACTGTGATTTATAAATTATTATGTGTTGCTTAGCTTGCTGTGCAAACTATAAAGTAATTATAGTTTATTCAATGAATCATGGATAAATAAACCTTGGTTCTATCCAACATATGAGCCCAGTCACCATATGGAAAAGCAGACGTGATGTTTCTGCATGAGTTGATCAACTAGACATCTGCTAGTTGTGTTCTTTTTGAATATAAAGATGGGTTATATATGAAAAATCATTCATTGTTATTTATAAGGTCCTTGGGAAATCCAAGGATAAGCTTAATTCTATAATAAATGTTTCTAAAAAGAAATATTTATAACATATTTCCCTATAACTTTTTCCAATAATGTTAAAACCAGACAAGGTATGACTCAATCCCTTTCTATTTATCATAACGTAAATCAAAACATCCAATTGTTTGGGGCTACAGATCTAAAATACTGAAAAAAGGACTGTCTTAAAATAGAACTATACCTAAAGAATACTATTAATGCAAGTCATATCTGGAACAAACAGTACACTACCCATCAATATAGGTCTAAAGGGAAGAGGAAAAATAGACCATATTGTATTCACAGGAGAGACCCCAGCTCCTATTAAAGCAGACAAAGCAAAAACATTTTGCCAGGAGTGAGAACAAGTCTATTCCATGTTCAGACAAGCAAGAAAATATAAACCAGAAGCCACTTACATGAGTTGGAGAGACAGCCTGACACTTTTTTCTCAAACGTGGCTGATCTTCCTTCTATCTATCTATCTATCTATCTATCTATCTATCTATCTATCTATCTATCGATCGATCGATCGATCGATCGATCTATCGATCTATCTATCTATCTATCTATCTATCTATCTATCTATCTATCTATCTATCTATCTATCTATCTATCTATCTATTTATTTATTTAACAAACAAATAAATCTTCTCTTTGGCCAGAACAGGATACAGAGGAAATCCCCATATTTTATCTCCTGGGAAGAATTCATTACTAATACAGGTAATCCTCAAGTTATGACCATAATGGAGCCTGCCCATTACAACCGAAAGTTGGGAGGACGTTAAATGAACCACCTCACTTAGCAAGTCCCCATCCCTGCTTCCTTCAATACATTTATTAAACAAATGTGCGGGTCATTCAGTAGAATATGGGGTGCCTCGGGTGTAGGGGAAACTGTAGTCCAGGCACAAACCCACCTACCTCCAGCCTCCAACGCCTCCCCCAACCCGAGATACCCCATGCTCCACTTCCCACCCCTTGCGGTCTCCCCAGTCACTTGGGCCTCCTCCCTTCTCTCCCCCCTCCAGTTACTGATTGCTCACCTATCTTTCGAAGGTCTCCAGAAGGTTGGGATATGGAAGGAGGACAGGCCACTCCATTGCTGGGCCACATGGCAGAATTCCACAAGCAGTCGTCTTTTTCTGAAATGCTAGCAAAGCTCTTGGTTTTCCTTTCCTCGCTTGTCACCAGCCTTCCCTCCCCCAGCATTAGCAGTATATCAGTGATGGCTACTTGTGGAATTCTGCCACGTGGCCCAGCAACGAAGTGCCCTGTCCTCCTTCTGTATCCCAACCTTCTGAGCTCTGGACAGCTTCGAAAAGTAAGTGAGCAATTGGTGATGGGTGGTGGGTGGACAGGGGTAGAGTGGCAAAGCAGACCCAGTGCCTCGGGGACTCGACAAAGCCAGATGGGGAGGAAATAGAAAGGAGAGGGACATGTTGCAGCATTTCTGCAGATGGTCACAAGAATGAATGACCGCAAAGTGCTGCGACAGACCTAACTTTGGGGCTGGGTCATAAGTACCTTTGGGGGGGGAGTGTTGGCGTAATTTTGTTCCATTGCCAAATGACCTGTCGTAACTTGAGGACTATCTGTACTTAGAAAGTAACTCTTCCACGCTTTCATGTCTCCTTAAGAAGACATCAGTGGGGCACATCTTC